GGTCGGCTGCAGAATGAGTCGTATACTACCCGTCAGATCCATCCCATCCGTGGTTCCGTCCACCCCTCTACTTGGGCTGTTGCTGAGGGCATGTTGTTTGAGACAGCCACCACACTGGCATGTCGTCAGTGCACACTTGCTGGCCAAGTGACCACACACCAGACACGTAGGCTTGGCTTGCGGTGAGATGGATGCCATGTGGCTGCACGGTGGAATGAAAGATCGCCCCGGATCAAGGATGAACGCGAACGCGGAGGAACATCTACCCGTCGTCGGATCATGGATCGTGGATCGTGCCGAACTTCTTTCATACTACTGCTTGGGACCGTTACCGTACGGCCATGTCTTCAACGCACACACACTCGCTGGCCAAAATTGGCCAACGACGTATGTATGTATGTAGCGCATGGACACGTACTACGTGTCGTGCGGCGTGGATAGTCTATAGGATATGGCAATGTTTCGGTTCCGGTTTTCCGGTTTTGGTGGTGTGGTATGGTGTGGTGGTGTGTGGTGGTGTGTTGGGGGGTGGGGGGGTTGTTTGGATACCCCCCCGGGTGTTGTTGGTTTGACTTTGGGGAAAGAATGAGAGACAGACATGCTGTAAGACTGCAACACTTTGTGCCAGCCAAACTACTCCCAATCGATCAAGACCACCGCTGGAAGAGACAGATAAATCTATAAGACTGCAACACTTTGTGCCAGCCAAACCATTCCAGGGTCTGCTCTTGTGCACGGTGCTCACCTCTGTTTCTATATACCTCATCGCTCAAAACTCACCAATTTGGTCTGCGCCAACAGGATGAAACTGGCCAGCGTGCTCTGCGGGACCACCGATTTGGTCGCTGAACGGTGCCAACGGTCGTGCCATCGTGCTAGCGGTGTTCGACCTTACAATACACTTGTTTGCAAAACCGACGGGTGTGATACAAACGACCTGTTCGTTGAAACTTGCCGGGTTGTGAGCGATGGGCCGCGAAATGGCCGTAGCTTGTTGAACGAGAATAACCGATGGACAGTGCATGGGCAGCCCAACATTTTTTCATTTTTCACGTTCCTACACCTGATTCGGCGCGTTAGATCCGGGGTCGCGACATAAACCAAACGCTGTCTTCCCCTAAATAGTATACGTATTTGTAACATCGATTTCCTCATGATACCATGCAATTGTTCTGTGCTTCTTGCCCTGCTGCCTGGTTTCTCGTTGTCGTCGATGGTGTTTGCCTTCCAACTACGGCGAAGCCCAGCCATCCACTCGGACCCCATAGTTGCCCTTGGTCCTAATCATCTCCTGCTTCCCTCAATTTTTTGTTCGCTTTTCTAGGTAGTGACTCCATGTCGGCCTGACGGGTGCCAGCAGTATACGCACGCAGAGGAACACTTGACCAACGAATATCATGAGGGACCCTGCTGCAGCAGAAGCGCTCATATTTTACTAGTGGAATCGGAGAGGCATACACGCAATCACACTATCAATCAATGTCATTGCTCCTGATCAGACACGCAGCGGGGACAGTAGCAACGCAATGTTGTTGGGCAAGTGTAGCGCAGCTTACTGGCATCCACTAGAGACTAGGCCGACAAGTGTTGTTCTGTCTACCGCACTGGCAGCAGCTCATGGATAGGCTCTTGGTGCATACTTGGAGTATTGTGCAAAATTGACGGTGTGGGTCCGAGTGGGCGATGGAGGACTGTATTTAGCAACAATGCGTCTCTCGTTGACGGGAGGAACTACATGCGTGATCATGTCATACATATACTCACAGGATGGTCGTCGTGAGGTGATACATTTCTTGTTATTAGTATGGGAAAAAATAAAAAAAGATGGCTCGATTTTTGGCCTTTCTACAGCAGTATGGACCAGAGACGCCGACTGTACATGGGAGTCGTACGAGTGTCGACTCAGTGGTGCTGTCAGAGCATCTTCCACGCACTTTCTGCCAGTGCTGGTTTGTTTATTGGAGTCTTGTAGGTCGAGATACAGCAGTGGGATTCTCGGGTTGTGGAGGCAAAAGTGAACCAGAGCAAAAAATTTCATGCATAGCTCGAATACTAGAGTATCCCACTCGACTTTTTTTTTTTTGGCGACATGTGGTTGCATATTTTGCCACTGCCGAAAAAGGCCGCTGGATCTTTACGCAGTCCGCCTGCCTTCGCATTTTTCATTTTACACCGAACGACGCAGGACGGGTCGACCTTCATCATTGTTGTTGTTGTTGTTGTTGTTGTTGTTGTCTTCCCATTAAAAACCGTTCCGATCTCTCTCTACCCAGTAACTTCATATGTCCGTACTTGTGGATTACCTGTTGGAAATTGTGGGAATCCCTTCATTCCGAGAGAGCCACAGGTCGGCATCCGGCCTTTTCTTTTTTTTTTTGCACTTTTCTTATATGCAATTTTCTTCCTGTGAAGTTTTGACGTTGCGCTTGCCATCGTCGCTGAAGTGTTTGTGGCTTCAAACCTTCTCAGCCGGCCTTCAAACTTCTTGTTGATAAGTCTCCGTGGTAACTTCTTCGCGCATGAGTCATATGCAGGTATGACCTGCGCTTTTTCTTTCACGATGGGTATTTTTCCTCCTTGTCTTGCATTGGTGAGTACCTGCGTTATACGGAAGGATCGTTCCACGACGCAAACGTCGACATCTCCGCTTTTTTTTGTTGTCCCCTCCGCACTCCTTCCTTGCCGCGGTTTTCACACCGACTTCGAACGTGGGGTGCAATTTCCTCTCTTCGTACCTTCCTCGTCCGCCTTCTCCATCGTTATGTACATAATGTATACCTCGATTTTTCGGCTTTTCGATTCCGATAGAGACAAGACTACGGACTGACATTTCCCTTTCACCCCCGACGGGACCGCGCGCTCGTCGAGTACCGAAATTCTTCACCACTTCCTTGCCTCTCCCAACACCGTCCCTTCTTCCCGCCCCAACAAATCTTCTCCCCTTCTTCTTCTTTCCTTCCTCCCGGACACTCACCACCATTCGTCCTGGATGTTGGCCCCCAGCCCCATTGGGGGGCGGGGGGCCAATCCTTAACCCTAGTATGTCTTAACCCTAGTATGTCTTATGTTCAAGGTCGATACAGCTATTCGCTCGACGCTACGAACAATCTTCTGTTGTCCCGAGAGTATCATGTGTCTGGTAGTCGGCCTCGTTGAGCAGGATTTCCAACAAACGGTACACAATAGCCGACAATGAAGCACCGTGGATGTTTAGGTACGGTGTTCTCTGTGCGTTGGTGCAGGGATTTGTGAAAAGAAGTGTAGGGACAAGTGTAGGGTATCACAGCGAGCATCCGTTCCATCCACTAGACGACCCACCGACCCCATTTACCTGGCTGCTTCCCGATACAAAAGTACCAAGAAGTCTAACTCTCAACGGAATGATGAAAACGGGCGTATGTAGCGCACTCTTTCGACGAACAACGTTGCAAACAGGTCGATTTCGAGTTTGCAATGGTCGATACCGTGCTAAGGCTGTTCTGGGCGACACAGGTTTAGCACATCTTGCCGCAAAACATTACACAACAGCCCGAACGTTCTTTGAGAACGCCCCGGGGAGCGTTAAAACCTGTACGACAACATCGGCGCTCACAATGGTAGCGGGCTGGACCAAAACATCGAAGGCCACTCCTGGCCAACATGGCCCCGGGGGGGTTTGGTCTCTAATCCTTCAGATTGGGCCTCCCCCGGACACACGCACTAACACATGTTTGTTTGCTGTGGGCCTCCTTTAGACGAAAAAAATGTGATAGTATTAGTGGTCAAGACGATTTGAATTCGATCTATTCAGCATGTCGACGGAAGATCTAGCAAAGGCCACCGCCACTTCTTGTTGTGCTATGACTCCATGACGACCGGGTGGGCCCGCTTGCGCTCTAATGCTCTTGGGCGAAGCCTCAGTAGAGAGAGACACGGTACGTGTTGCTGGCTAGGCTACACTCGATGCCCCGACCGCGAAATGACGAGGCGTCCCACGATTGCGACACGCTTGTGTCGGCCGTTCGATATCGCGTAAGAAGCACATGCACGCGAAATGGCATCGGCAGAGGTGTAATATATCACGTGTGCCTCGCGTTGTTTTCTTCGTTGCCGGGAAGCGATGCAGTATTTCTCTGAGTGGCGACAATTGCTGCCGCTAAATAAACTCAAGCGAGTTGGACTGGGCTTCGCTTGCTGCCTGCAGTCGATAGCTTTCCGTTCGTTCAAAATGGACGCACCAGCCGGGGTCACACACGAGGAACTTCTCGCTCTTTCCTCCTGCCACGGTGACTGTTAATCGTTAGCGCGATAGGAGTGTAGAGATCCCTTCCGTCTTCGTTGTGTGTACTCCAAGATATGTCACATAATAATTACGAGATCCGGCGAGAGAGCTACGTGAACACATGCGTAGTAGAAACAAATTAAAGATAAAAGAAACAGACCCAATAACTATTTAACCTCTCTTGACGCCCCTTCCACAAACGAACAACGCCTAGCATACCAACCCCTTCCACACAACAATAATGCCTACCATTCCATAGAAAACACCCGAGATCGACTTCAACGTAAAATCCTTGGTGCGCAAGGACTATAACAGGATTTCGAAATCCTCCAAATGCTTCCTTTGTACGCGGTCAACCAGAGCTGCGTACCTCGATTCGACGGCCCGAAAAACGTAATTCTCCCCCCCCCCCGCCCCCGGAAAAGCAAACGATCCAAAACAAACCAACGGTGGGACCAACGGACCGAGCAAGAACATTATTCGGAGCAACACAGCGCGTAGTCGCACAAGAATTACCTCATCAAATCTTTCATCTCTGGGACAACCACCCGCGAGACAACCAAACCAACACACAGGCGTGTACCAAGAGGAGAGTCTCCAAGACGGTCGGTCGGTCTAGCGTGTCACCACCGCTGCTGCCGTTGCCTTAAAAAAGCGCCGTCTCAGTAGCCAGGACGACGCATACCAACCAGACACTAACTAACGCCAGAGGCACGAACATATATCTGAACGACCGCTATCACCCGGAGCTCCAGAAGGAATCGAGAGTCCCGGTCTTGGGGCCGGGCGTGACCTTCTTCGCGCCGCCGGCGGCGGCGGCGGAACCAGCGGCGGCCACGTCGCCATTCTCGCTCACTGCTGCATCTTTCCCTCCTCCATCGGCCGCCGTCTTCGTCGCCGCACCTCCACCACCATCCTCGCCAGCCGCGACCTCGTCTCCGTTTCCTCCGGCCTTACTCGATACATCGACGCCGCTACCGTTGCTAACTGCCGCACGGCCGGTGGCACCGGACGCGGATTCACTCGACGCAGCCGCCCCCGCCGTCGGCGCAGTCTTCCTCGCTATCGGGCGGGTCTTGGAGGTTTGCGGCGACAGCGGATGCTCGAGGAGCTTGGCCTTCTTCGCCGGCGACTCCGACACCCCGGCTTCCCTCTTGTCCCCGCACCCCTCGTCGCCGCTGAGGTCCAATACGACCACCTCGGGCATCGGTCGTTTCGCTGTCGAAGGCGTTGTTGCCGCCGCCGCCGCCGCCGCCGCCGGCAGCCCGCTCGCCGCGTTCGAAACAGAAAAAACTCCTCCTGCGGCGGGGGCGGCGGTACCGACTGCTGTCGTCCCGCCTCCTACGGCAGCGGCGGCGGCAGCGGAAGCGGTAGCGGTAGCGGAACCGGTTGCGGCGGCAGCGACCGGGC